ATATAATCGGTGATGGAGCTTACCCCAGGCTTGAGTTGACCTCATCCTCTAGAGATTACAACTAAATTAAAACACCTATCTTATGTAAGTTGTTGCCAACGTTTTGGGATTTTGGTTAGTAATAAGTAGTTGAAAAGAGGGTTTGCCAATTGTTGAGAATTTTTTTCGATTTGTGAGAAATTCATGTAATGTTGATAAATTAGGCGCTGCTTGTATATCCAATGTTTGCATTCTCTGCATCGTGGTTCCTCTTACTATTTTTCTGATTATTCCATTTTGGAAATATTGTAATCTTTTCCCAGTTGCTGTGCTGACATGATTGAACAGAGGTGCAACGTACAACAGAGCCGGTCGTATTATACTTGTATAGATGAGGAACTTTAGGTAAAATGACAGGTTTGTTGTATTAATTAAATTTTGGAGTCTGTACGTCTTAGATCTTATTGTTTCTTATTAATTTTCTTTTTTCTTATTTCAAACTGTTTAGGTAGGTGGAAACTAATATTATGTGACAACAACAAATTATTTATTTCTAATTTAATTTTAATGAACTCTCAAATTTCTTTCGATTTCAGACCAGCATATTTCGAGAAAACTAGTTATCAAAAGGAGAAATATCGAAACTGTTGGTACAAAAGGATTCCTGTAACAATTTTCTATGTTTATTCACCTTTAGTAAATGTTTATTTGCCAAAATGTCACCTTTAGCGCAAATAGAACTGAAACTGCAATAAGTAGTCTTCTTCAGTGGAAATAGCAGAGGGAAATAAAATATAAAATTATAATAATCATTTATAAAGAAATCAGTTTTTAAATATTTCAGTTTTATATAATAAAATAATAAATTTTTACATATGAATTTTTGCCCTAACAGTAGCTTTATAATTTAATTATTAAAATAGAAAAAAAAATAGTACATTTCATATTAATTTAAGGATCTACCACTGTAATGTAATTTGTCTTTATTTTATGAATATATATATTTTTTTTTTCATGGTGACTTCCTAATATTCCTGATTAATGATCTGTTCCTTGTAAGTAATTTTATTAGCATTTTCTTTAATAATAATAATAGCTCGTTTATTCTGGAAAATCTCTCAAGAAAATAGCATTAAAGAAAAGGAAAATAGCATTATTAGTGTTAGAGTAAAATCAAATCATTAAGTAGGAAAAACAAATTGTATTGAATTAACTTCGAAAATTGAAAGTAGCCGTTGAGAAAACTTATTTATCTACGTGTTTTGACAAACATATTTTATAAAAACTATTTAAAAAATGTTAATGGAAACAAATTTAAATAACAATGAAATAAAATACACTATTAAATTATGATTTAACTTATTTATGTTAATAAATAAAAAAATTTCTACATCTTGACATCACACTTGCTGATTGTCGGAACTTCTGATAGGTGTGAGTTGAAGAAAGAAGTTAAAAAAAAAAAACTTAAATAAGAAATGTTTATTTACAGTTATTTGGAACTGTATGATCAGGGATTGGTTAGAAATGGAGGATTTAAATGTGGAAAGTGTAAGTAAGGATATTGGAATGACAACAATTTTGAAAGCGATTTTATTCTTTGATGGAAGACACTGACATCTACAAGGATCTCCAAGATGGATCTCGCGAAACTATTAATCAAACATATCGGTTTTGCTTTGAGATCCTCAGATACATTCGTACTTCAATAGTCAAAGTTGGAGAATATTAAGGAGGTAAATAGCAGCATACGGGTATATAGGTAATATGTGGGGAAGACAATTTATTCAAAATAAGGATGGGAAAATAAGACAAAAGGAGTTTGACCATAGCTCTCCGGCGATTTGATAAAATCTTATCAGATTATTATTTAAGAGCTGAAGCTATTTTCCTAAGGTTGTTACCTTGTGTTGAAGGAATTATTGGATTCAAGTCCAAAAGGGATCTTTCTGTGGTTGTTAATTGTTACAGAGTGAGAAAAACAAGTTAATTTGGAATTATCCTAGACTCAAATGGCATTGAGTGTGATGGATAAGGAGTAACAACTCATTAATTTACATGTCAAACGGAGCAAAGGTAATTTTACCAAAAGGAATCGTTTGTTTAATATGGAACTAAAGCTGGAAATTCTAAGAGAGATATTTATTTACAAGGAACGGTTTACCTTTGTCAGGTAGTAAAACCGTAATGGTTAAGGGCACTGTGTGTATCCTTTTGGAAAAGCCTCATATGCCGTGAGGACCTCAAAGGAAGGAAGGATTTCGTTCGTCTCAGATAGACACATTTCCCAAGGTTCACTTGTTTTCAAAACATCTTTATTATCTCATTGAAAGCATTATTTTTATTTTCATTCAAGTATAAATAAATGTTTATCATATAGAAATGAGAATATACAGCAGTAGGTAAGTAATATTATAATTGAATATTTAATAGTTGACCGTTGCATTATAAAGGAAGGAGATGGCCCAGGGTGGCAGTCATAAATAGGCTAAATAGTGGCAAAACTATTTTATTAAAAGCTAACGTTTCGACCTAACTTTGCAGGTCTTCTTCAGGGCTTCTTGTCCGTTATAGTCCTGAAGAAAACCTGCAAAGTCGGGTCGAAATGTTGGCTTTTAATAAAATAGTTTTGCCACTATTTAACCTATTTATGATCACCACCCCGGACTATCTCCTTCCTTTAAAATTATAATTATTTTTATTATTGCTGAATACTTTTGAAATTAGGTACTACAAGGAATTAATTTTAATTTTAAATGATTAAAAGTTGTTTTGCACTTAAGTTAACCAAAATGTACTAAACTAGAATGTAAAATGACCTTTTAAGATAAATTGACAATATATTGACCTAAAATAGATTTTTATTTAATTTCATACTGAGAGATTGAATGATTTTTATTTCATTTCTGTTGTCATTACAGACCTTGCAGTTATATTTCCGTCTTCTCCAGTTCTGCCTATCGTCGGGCTATTTCTTTGCAGTTACCTGTAGGCAGCTCAATCGTATATTTGTTTATCCAATCTATCTATCAGCATTTCGGCCTTCTACGTGGTCTCTTACCTACTATTAAGGTATTCAATGTTGTGTAGAGGCTTCCTGATGGGTCGCTCCGACCTGCATACCACACCCATCTTTATGTCCTCGCCTTCATATCACTTTCTGTAAGACGTTCTTTATTTCTCCTGCTGCTAAGCACTCTGATCTCAGAGTTATACAGTGGAATATTTCGCTCTATAATATTTTTTCACTTCTTTCTAGGATGCTGGGCATTGTTCAGGTCTCGCAACCGTATATCAGACCTAGCTTTATCATAGTATTGTACACTCTTAATTTTATACTCCTTGAGATTTGTCAGTGTTTCAATATCTTTGAGAGAGAAAGAGAAGAAAATTCTGTTAGTGAATTTTTGGAGGCTGGTCTGTTTCCGACGGTTATTTTCATTCATTCAGGTTATTTTGGAACCGAGATATTTTAATCTGTTTACTATTGAGAACACAGCTGATATCCCAACCCATTCTAACACTGTCATTACCACGTATGCCGATGATAGAAATAGAAATAGAAAATAAACTTTATTCTGGGACGATGTCCCCTTAGAATAACAATAATGAACAGTTGCAAAAGAAAAAATACATATCTGGCCAAAAACTAACTTAATAAAGATTTAAACAATATATACAGTAACTTAAATAATAGTACGTAAATTACTAAAAAAATAAAATAAAACTATACTTAAAATTTTACTGGAAAAAATGACAAGAGAAAAAAAAAGAAAAATAGAATTACATATATAGAAAGAAAAAGGAAACCTCCAGAAAAGAAAAAATAAATAAAAATTAAGAAAACAAAAAAAAAATTGACTTATGTTAAAGCCCAAACAGCTAAAGCATACAAAATATATACATATGTTAAAGATATATTAATGACTGAAGATGAGCAACGGGATCACAATATTGCATTATCCCAGCATAAAATATATAAAATAAGAATAAATAGATAAATAAAATTAGGAAGGAGCATGATATATGATACATGTGTCCTATCACTTAATGATGACCCTATAATTGCATCCCAAACGATTCAATCACACATAACAAACCTTGAAGAATAGTGTAAAAACTGGAGGATTAAAATAAATCCCACCAAATCACCTTTACCCTTCGTCGTAAAGCTATGTCCTCCTGTCCTACATCATCCTTTAATAATACCCCACTTATCCCTGTTGAACAAATCCTATACCTTGGACTCCACTCATACAAACGTCCAACTTGGAATCCTCATACCAGAATGAAACGACAAGAACCCGCTCGATGTTTCCGACTACTCCAGCACCTACTAGACAAGCGCTCTAAGCTTCCAGTTAATTAAAAAAGAGTCATATAAATGACTACAATAACACCTATTCGACTTAAGCACTTGAGCTCGAGGGCTCTACTAAGTCATCAAATTCCACTCTTTAATCTTGGGCTCTACAATCCAAAATCCTTCGTAAAATTTTCTCTGCTGCTTAATTTTTCACAAATAAAATCATCCATAACGACCTTGATGTTCATTGTGTTTCTGACCTAGCCCAATCCAGATACCTATCCTTCCATAACAAACTTCAGAATCATCCAAACCCTTCCGTTTCTAACTCTACTTCCTCTTCGACCCCTGACAACCATCCGAGGCGTTTGAAAAGAGGTCTCGAGATCTCCTTTTGTAAATAAATTTTTAGAGTGTTACTAGTGGGTAGTTTCTCAACGAGTGGTTTCATGTTATTATATTCTTCTTTTTACATTTACTGAATGTATGTTTATTTGTAATACAGTTGTTAATATCATAAATAAAAAATAAAAAACTCTTGGGAATAATCACGTTTTTTATCATATATTTTATTTTATCTGTATTTACTTGTAGGCTGCTATATGTAATAGTTAGATTGAAAAATTATACACAACGAAAAGTTAATAATTCAAGATTCGTGAATCCAAGAAATTATAAGAATAAATAAAATAAAAGCAAACGCTATGTTAATATTTTAAAAAAGAATCAGTATATACATACAAACAATAAAATAAAATGAGAAAGTTAAGAATGAATAAGATATACAACAATGAAAAATATAATAAAGTATCAAATAACTCACATTTATGTTTCTGCCTGGTTCATCTTCTACCAGCTGCCGTGCGATGTCCTTGCAGGATCTTCTGGATAGAGGAGGAATCTTGGAATCGTCCTCCCAGTACCTGGATGCCGAATGGGCGTAGGCCGCGGCCGGGGTTGCGTGTGTCACCCTTGTGTTCGTAACGACCCCCGTTGCTTTACCTGTTGAAAAGGTAATATTTATTTATATTTTTAATTTATTGAAAAAAAATTATCATAATCCCAAATATTTTTTTTAAAAATCTAAATCATTATCAGTGTGAACTAGTTCAAGGTAGAAAACAGAAACTGGAGTTTCCATTTAAACCGAATTTTCTGAGCACAAAGGCGGGAAACGAGCTGTCAGCAAGTCGATGACTGCATGCAATCAATGTCTCTACATTCAGGCGATGGTGTGGAAGCGATTACTTTGTTCACTAGAATGTGCTTTTACAGAGGTAATTTTTGTTTTGAAAAACTGAATACACACACCGATATACTCGATCTAATCCTATCAATTTTCAATTTTTTGTAACTGAAATCATTAATTAGTAATTAGTTATAGTACTAGATTAATGAATATCCAGTTATAAAAATGTTTGGAAGTAGCTGCTAGGTCACGGAGGCCACATGCGGCTTAGTTGTCGCGGGTCCTATCTATATTTCCTAAAGAGTGTATGTATGGCTTTATTATTAGAATAAGTGAATTAACCGTGTAGAATGAATTAAGCAATTGATTGAATAATAATAATTATGGGACCGTCGGTGAGCGTGGAAGATCCTGTTAAAGTAATTACTCCGGGACCAAATATCATTTATTCATTAAGGGCCATTAACAAATTAGCCCTTAGCCCTTCTCTTTTGGTTAATTAACCGTCTTCGTCTCCTTCTCATATCTAATTCACCAGCTAACGTTCGCTCTTTCTACCAACTTTAACTACAATGCTTCAAATTGGTTATTCTATGTGCAGTATTCATTACGTACTCACAAAAACTTGAAGAAAAAAAACTATCAAAATAATAAGTACGGTTTTATTCATAACCTATTTCTCGTAAAGGCCTATTAATGTGTTAACATCAAACACTTAAACGTCATTCGAAGAAAAAAAAACTTGTCTGTTCGTAAAAGGCATTCACGTCTCATTCACTAATTAGTCGACGATACAGAACCCTTTTTATTAAATTATTAATTTCCTTCTAAAACTTCATGAATGGTTTCATCTTTTGATAACCTACATTTTTTTTATTACGAATATTATCCGTGATAAGGCGTATTCAATCTGGATATCGGTAAAATTTGTCTATTTTATAACGTAACTCATGAACAGCCATTCCATTTCCATTTGAATCGTAAGATAATTTGATCACAAAATCTAGAAAAAAGGTGGCCTAGAAAAATATTGGGCCGTTAGGCATGACTCATTGGAAATAACGATAGCAATAATACGAACAATTATGCCTCCTGTAAAATACCACTAATAAACGATTTCCGGATGTCCAATGCTATTTCTATTACTCCTGATCCTAATGGAAAATTTAAAGACGTGGAGGAATTTAAATCCCAAATAAAGCTAGCTCTTCGGCCTAAGAGCAAATGTCTACAAATTGATAAAATTTTCAATACCAAACAAACAGGCTTAGTAGTTATAGCGGGGAGAGATTCCGATAAGAAAGCTTTACTTAAAGACCCAGATATATCGAAACTCGGCAAGGTATCCGAAACAATTAAGCTAAGGAATCCACGCGTAATTATAAAAGGCGTCCCCAGGAAAGTAGAAGACGCAGAATTTGCAATCGTAGAACTGATCGAATGTATCTTGGCTCAAAATGAAGAAATTGAACTAGGCCACCCTGAAGAGTGCAAGCTTGCATTTTACACTGGTAGAAGATCGGAACCGAGAGTCAACATGGTCCTGGAAGTCAGCCCACGCTTAAGAAATATGCTCGTATCCAGAGGACACTTATACTTAAATTTAGATATTTGTAAAGTTGAGGACTTTAAAGATGTGACAAGGTGCTTTCGTTGTCAAAGATTTGGGCATGTGCAGTCTAAGTGTAAGCACGAGGAACGGTGCTGTCACTGTGGTGCTCATGGACATAAAGTAGGGAATTGTCCAAGTTTAGACCAGCCACCAAAATGCGCGAATTGTCAGCTGAAACATAGATCGTCGTTTTTTCGATGCCCAAGTCGGAGTGAGGCAATTAAATGGTTCATGAATCTCACTGACTATGGACGACAACGTTAATCAATGTCCCCGCTGCGACAGGAATTTTGGGACTCGTTCGGGTATGGGTCTTCACATCAAGCGTGCTCACCCCGTCTTCTTCAATGATAATATTAACACGGATCGGAAGAAGGAGCGTTGGACTAGAGACGAGCTTCAATTACTAGCTCTGAATGAAGCATCACTGATCGCTCAAGGAGGAAATGTAAGGATTCGGGACCTTGTCGATATGCAATCCGGTAGGTCTATATGGAGTATACGAAAGGCTAGAAAAAAAGAACAATACCAGGATCTCCTTCAGAGAGTCATGGAAGGGCGTAACGATGAAGCCGCAGAGCCTAACCCAGCTGTTGCTATAAATAATGGCACCACGGATAAGCAGGAATTTCTGAAAGCAGCCAGAAACTTATGCCAGGAGATAACTGATCCTAGTTCAGTATTGGCTTCACTTTTGGAGATTGCAGAGGAGGAGGAAGACATTTCGGAATCTCTTAACGCATGGCTCGATTCAGTGGTGAATGTGAAAAGCAACATTTCAAATGAATCTGGTGAAAGATCATTGCCCGCTAATTCTACTGTCAGAAGAAGGGAGCAGTTCAAGAAGATTCAAAAATTATGGACAAGAGATAGGAAGAAAGCGGTTTGCGAAGTGTTCAACGGTACCACAGCCCGTAACAAGCACAATATTGAGCAACTCGAATCTTTCTGGAGGCCGCTGATGGAGAGAGCATCGTGTCCCAATGTGCCGGATACGCCAATTCCGCATCAGAAGTTGTTTACATTATGGCTGCCAGTTACAGTTGATGAAGTCAAATTAAACGCTATGGACAAAAAATCATCAGCGGGACCCGATGGTATCACTGTAAAGCAGTGGGAATCTGTTTCCCCCTTACATAGGGCCATATTTTATAATATATATCTGTCCAACCCACCCCACTTACCAAAGTTAACTGCGGCCCGGACTATATTCATTCCGAAAACGGATGATCCCGCTGGTCCTTGTGAATATAGACCCATCACAGTTGCTTCAGTCCCTCTTAGACAAATGCACAAGATAATTGCAACTCGTCTAAACGAAATGGATTTGCATCATGTAAACCAGCGAGCGTTTATTGCTTCCGATGGCACTGCAGAAAATATATTCTCATTACAGTCAATAATAGACGACTCTAAAATGAGAAAGAAGGAAATCCATGTAACGTTTATGGATATTGCCAAAGCTTTTGATAATCTGAGCCATAATGCACTTTATAGAATCTTAGAATGGAAGGGTATGCCAGCTGGACTTATTGGTTACATGAAGGGGCTATATAGCAAATGTTATACCCGCATTACAGACAAAAAGCAGCATACGGATCCTATTGTATGCGGAAGAGGTATAAGGCAGGGTGACCCATTATCCCCTAGTCTCTTTAACATGGCAATGGATTGGGTAATCCATTCCCTTTCAGATGGAATAGGCTACGATATGGGAGGAACAATGGTAAACTGCCTGGCATTTGCAGACGACCTAGTCTTAATCACATCCTCATCGAAAGGCATGAAAAGATTACTATCGGACGCAGCTGCAGCTATTCAAGATCTGGGAATGGAATCCAACCCAGCCAAATGCTTTAGCTTTTCTCTCGTCAAGGCCGTCAATTCTAATGTTATGAAGGTTGATAACAGATATCATTTCGTAGTAAATGGCGCTAGAATCAAGCAGTTGGGTATCTTGGATTGCTGGAAATACCTAGGAGCGAAATTTTCGTTGAACAACATGAATGCCGAAGGGATTATCGATGAATTATCATTATTGCTGCACAAAACAAACACTGCACCCCTAAAACCGCAACAAAAATTAGTGACTTTGAGAACTTATCTCATCCCGAAATTCATTCATCTCCTCACACTGAGCCCAAGCAAAATGAACGAGTTGAGAAAGTTAGATATCTCAACGAGAGCGGCAGTACGTTCCTGGCTGCGACTGCCTCAGGATACCCCTACTCAGTATTTCCATTCTGCTTGTACTGATGGTGGTTTGGGAGTAATGAGCTTTAGCAGTGCTATACCCTCACTCAAGCTCGCGAGGTTACGACGTATGGAGTACTCTGGTTGCCCAGTAGCAAGAGCCGCCTATCATTCCTCCTTTATCACTAAGGAAATGAGAAAACTCACAAGCAACCTCACGAAAATGGGCCTCAACGCGGAAAACACTTCCAGTGAAGAACGAAAGAAAACGCTGTCCATGAAGTTATATCGTAGCGTTGATGGTAAGGCATTAAGGGAGTCAAAAAACTGCCACCCATCAACTCATTGGTTGACAGACTACGCGGCTCCGATAACCGGACGGACCTTCATACAGACGGTAAGAACTCATATAAATGCCCTCGCGACCCGAGTGAGATTATCCAGAGGACGTAGGGCTTTTATGCCGACCCAATGCAGAGCTGGGTGTCCTGCAAGCGAAACTGCCAGCCATATTATTCAACATTGCATTTTGTCTCACGGTGGTAGAGTGCGCCGGCATGATACAATAGTGAACATGTTGGAAATTGCTCTCCAAAAAAAAGGATACAGGGTCACAAAGGAGCAAATGTTTGTTGGTAATAGACGAAGGTGGAAGCCAGACCTGGTGTGCTCAGGACTAAGCGGACACTTCATTATAGATGCACAGGTCGTCGGGGATAACCCTAGCACCACTCACTGGAACAATGTCAAAGCCAATAAATATAGGGACCTAGATTGCAGGATGGCGATCGGGCGTACACTGGGAGTGCCAGGCGTGGACATAAAAGTACTGCCGCTCACAATAACTTGGAGAGGAATATGGTGCCGAAGATCTTTCCAAGACATGGATATGTTGGGAATTCCCAAGAGAACGATGAACGCTATTACAATAAGAGTCCTTAAAGGGTCCCACATGAATTACAGTAATTGGTTCAGGCTGCTTCCTCGTTTATAGCATGATACTCAATGATTATATCGATGTCATAATTTACATTTTTACGTTTTGTTTTATTTATCTTTATTTGTTATTTTATTTATCTATTTATTTATTTCATTTTTATTCGTTTAATTTTATGTTTATTTATTTACTTTTTTTTTTATTATTTTTTTTCTTATTTTATTTATTTATTTTATTTTAGTTATTTATTTTTATTTATTTATTTTTTTTTTATTTATTTAGATATGTACTATAGTACTACTTTTTTATGACTTATATTGCGGAGGGATTGCTACCTCCGTGGTTTTTAAAATTACTTTATATATAGTGTGTATTTTATGTATGTATATGAATGTATGTATATTTTTCTTTTATATTTTTATCGACGCAGCTGCTTTTTGTATGTAAATGCAATGCTCAGTATATTATAACTTAATATTAGTATGTTTTCTTTCTTTTTTTTTATATATATATATGATTCTTGGATTCCAATATCCAAGATAAAACGTTACGATGGTGAAGGTAGCACCAAATTGAATTGGAAATTGAGAAAGGTCTGGAGTTTTGTTACTTCGAAAAATATATTAACTATGTATGAACTACCAAATAAATAAATAAAAATAATAAATCAAAATAAAGATGTTATGTAGGCAATTTTTTATTC